AAAAAATGGAAAAGTTAAATCCCTCCTCAGCTAGATTATATTAGAAAAGGTCATGATAACTGACGTTGATGATAATGATTGATAATTGAAATACATTCTCCATAAAGAGATGTTTACATTCTAACCTCTGCATCAGTGAATGAACCTTTGCTTGGGAAAATGAGGATTTTTTTTTCCAGATGTTATAAATTAATGAAACCATACTTGAGTAGGATGATTACTAATCTTACTTCATTCTGAATAGTGTCTTATATGAAAGAGCAAGCATAGAAACTGAGTCACTCATAGAAGGAAAACAGCATGTGAAGATCCATCTAAGAAGCAGGAAATACAAAGAAACACCCAGGTTTGCCCAAGGATGAATGTGATAAGGAGGGATCTTTCCCTAGAATAGAAAGAAGGATGGTATACCTCTGTTGTCACTTAAAAATTGGGCTGTCTAGCCTCCAGAACTTGGTGAAAACTTCCTGTCCCTTAAGACATCCCTTGTTATTCGGTGCGGTGAGTCAAGTATGACTCATAGTGACCCTATGAACAACAACAGATCTGAACCCTGTCCTGTCCTGTGTCACCTTCACACTTTCTGACACTCTAGAGCCCATTGCAGCAGGCACGACCTGGTCAGGGGTCTTCCTCTCCTTGCCAACCCTCCACCCTTTCCAAGCATCATATCCCCCTCCAAGAATAGCAACATGCCCGAAGTATGTGGGGCAAAACAACTTAGTATGCAAACTGACATCATTACTCCTTAATAATTACTCCTCCTGGGTGGATCATGGCAAGTTGTGACTGACACTGAGAAGAATGGGAGTCCCAGAACACTTAACTGTGCTGATGTGACCAGGACCAGAAGGTTTTGATGCAATCAGAGCAGGGGAACAGTAAACGGTTTAAAATCAAGAAGGAAGTATGTCAAGGTTGTATTTTCTCTCTATACCTATTTAATCTGTGAGCTAAGCAAATTATTTGAGAAGATAGACTCTATGAAGAGGAGTGTGGCATCATGATCAGAGGGAGACTCATCAATAACCTGCATTATTCAGATGATGCAACTTTGCTTTCTGAAAGCGAGGAGGACTTGAAGCACTTGTTACAAAAGATCAAGGAATGAAGCCTTTGGTATGGATTGCATCTCAGTATAAAGAAAACAAAGATTCTTACCACTGGACTGATAGGCAACATCATGATGGATAGAGAAGAGATTGAAACTGTTAACAACTTCATCTTACATGGATCCACAATTAACACCGTTAATACCAGCAGCCAGGAAATAAGGAGACATATTGCAGTGGGAAAATCTGCAGTTAGGAACCTCTCCAAATGATTGAAGGGTAATGATGTCAGTGTTAAGACACCTATTCTATGGCATTTTGTGATGCCAGCCCTGTTGTTGTTGTTATGTGCCATCGAGTCACTTGCGACTTATAGCGACCCATGGACAACAGCCCTAAACTCTGCTCTGTCCTGTGCCAATTACATTGCTTCTGATACACCCATCCCGAATATCCCAGTCACTGAATCAATCCACTTCATAGAGCGCCTTCCGCTCCAGTGCCGTCCCTCCACCCTCCCAAGCATGATGTCCCTCTCTAAGGACCTGTCCCTCCTTACAACATGTCCAAAGTATTTCAGATGAAGCCTCAGAATCCTTGCCTCCAAGGAGCTGCCCAGTTTAACCCTCTCCATGATGAATCTGTTCATTGTCCTAGCAGTCCAGGGTACACTCAGCACTATTCTCCAGCACCACAGCTCAAAGGAATCAATTCTCCTTTTATCTTCCCTAGTTGTTGTCCAACTCTCTGATGCATAAGGCAACTAAAATAATAATACTAACAACAGTTGTTGTTGTTGTGTTCAAACTGACCCATAGCTGACCCCCTGGCTGGTTTTCAGAAGGAGTTAATCTCATGGGAGGAGATTGCCCATCCTTCTCCTGTGGAGCAACTGGTGGCCTCGAATGGCATGCCTTCGGGATTACAGCACAACTCCTTACCATTAAGCTACCAGAGCTAATGTCCATTAAACACTTACCCTGTATTATGCCAAGCATGTTATAGCTGTCATCTCATTTAACTTCCATGCCTAATCAAGCTCATTGTTCTTCTAACTCATAGCAAACCTACTTCAGGTTTTCTGAGACTATAAATTTTAATGGCAGAATTTACAATCTTGATACCCCTCTTTCTCTCTTGAAGCAGAGCTATTGGTAGATTAAAACCAACTACTTTTTGGTTGTTGTTGTTGATTGCCATTGAGTCGAGCAGGACTCACAGCGACCCTAGGAACAAAAAGGCCTGAAGCCTTTCAATAACTATCTACATTTATCAAGGTTCATAGTTTCCAGAGGCATGTGTTTAGGAAGCGGATGCCACTCCTGCTTCCAAGCCTTTTGGTTAGCAGTGCAAAATACTATGGACAAAGCCAATTTTTTGGTGGTTGTTATATTTGATTTTTTGGGGTACATTTTAACTGTAATTCATGTGTAAGTTTACAAAGAATATTACTTTATTTTTAGTCAATCATTCATGCATATTTGTTCTGTAATGTTACAGGGATTTTTTAAAATCATAATTCCCTTTATAAAAGATCAAGTTATACGGTAGATGTAGAATTTAAGTCAAGTAATTTGACTCAAGTGCTGACATCTTAACCATTAATTTTGGGTAATAAATCTTAATAATTTATAACATTATTACTTAAAAAGTAGTCCTTCATCTTGAAGATGTTACTCTCTAGAAGCAAAGCAAATTATTATCCTTTAATATTTTCCCTAAAAAACCCAAAATAATGGAGAGATCACATATACAAAGATGTGAAAATATCAACATACTTGCAAAATACGGTCCCCTTCTCGAATCCGGCCATCTTTGGCTGCAATGCTATTTGGATCTACCTATAATGAAGAACAGACATATATTTTTTCCATTCAATAATTCATATACATTTTGTTTTACAACATTAATTATAATTTATTAATTATAATATCTGATCACTCTTTTATTGTATATTGCCTTCCCTTTTACTTCTCTGTCCCTCCCTTCTCATCTCTATCAACCATACAAGAATGAGTCTACTTGTTTATAGTAGTTTTTTATAATAGGCGTTATTATTGTTGTTATGTACCATAGAGTTGGAACTGATCCATAGCTGACTCTCCAGTAGGTTTTCAAAGGAAGTAAATTATATAGGAGGAGATTGTCCTTCTTTTTCACATGGAACAGCTAGTGGATTCAAACAATGTACCTTTTGATTAGCCGTACAACTCCTTACCCCTAATCCACCAGACCTTCTATAGTTATATAGAGATATTATAGTGGTATTATATCATTATAATCCCTTTGTCACTGACTTATGCCATTCAACATAATTGTTCTGGATTCATGCATGTTCAGTATGTTATTAATTCTTGATAGTTTTTAGTGAGGCATAATACTCCTTTATGTGAATGTGTAATAGTTTTTTAGCCATTTGTTCATTGATGGACACTTGAGTTGTTTCCAGTTCCTTGCCATTATAAATAATACTGCAGTAAACATGGGGAGATTATATATATATATATTTGTGTGTCATAGCTTTTATGTCTTCAGGATATATATTCCATAGAGGAATTGCATTTCAAACGGTATGTTTATTCACAATTTTCTAAGGAAGTACAATACTAAATTCCTTAGTTGTACCATTTTCTTTTCCCACCAGTAATGTATCAGGAGAAGACATATATTTTCCCATCCAAGTGCTAATTAGGCCCAACCCTGCTTTGTTTCTGAGATCAGATGAGATGGGGTGCATTCAGGGTGGTACAGCTGTAGACAAGACAAATATTTTCAATGGCTTTTCAGTATCTCTAACATACTGTTCGCTTTCCCACCCATAAGAAACAAGGAACTCATACAATATTATTCGAAATGGGTGAGCCTGGAGGACATTATGCTGAGTGAAATATATCAGTCGCAAAAGGACAAATATTGCATAGTGACACTGCTGTAAAATGGGACTGATATCAGGGTTGGGGTAAGACTGAGAAAAACTGGATAAATTGTGTATACTGCACTGAAACAGATGAGGGAAAGAATAATTTAAAAGCGATGTATGATAGGGTATTATGGTTATCACAAGAGTCCACAATTAACGTTGCATAGTGGAATGTACTTGGGGTGGTGGGAGGGGTGTGGGGGGGGATTGTGTACCAGGGATGCAGTGTTTCTTTTACTTTTCAAAGAGAGGAGCTAACTGGGGGGTGGCGGTGGGGAGGGCTGGGCAGGGAGAGAAGTACAGCAATGAATGAATGGAAATCCAAAATCTCTGTAAATGTTCATTAAAATTATTAGTAAAAAAAATATGGGCATAGCTCCAAAAAAAAAAAAAAGAAACTAAAAATATGGCCTTAAAATGTGTTTTTAAAAAGCTGATTAAAAATTCTCCATTGATTTACAATAGAGTACAAGTAATTTTTTTTCTTGTAAAAAATGTACTGATCCTAAGATAGTGACTGTAACAATGGGCAAGATGGTGAGGATGGCCTGGGTGGACAGGGTTTCATTCTGCTGGATGTAGGATCACTATGAGTCACAGCCAACTCAATGCCATCAGTGACAAGGAGAACATAATGATCTAGTTTAGAATTAACAAGAAGAGAATAGAATAAGATTTAAGAGTGCTAGGGAAGAACTTGATTGTTGTCGTCAGGTGCCATTGGGTTGACTACAACTCATAGCGATCCTATGAACAACAAACCAGAACCTTGCGTTATCCTGCACCATCTCTATCATGCTCAACCCATTGTGGTAATCACTGTGTCAATCTCACAGGGCAGAACTCGATTAGAACACTGTTTTTCCTTTCCTTCTTCCTTTATTCATATTAATTCATTTAATTCTGTCTCTATTATCAGACATGACCCTTGGTTGATTTAGGATAATAGTCATACAAGGATTCTTTGGACATAAGCAATTTATGGTCTACTGAGGTGATTTAAAAGAGCTGATAGCTATACTGTGAATTCATGCTTATCCAAGGAATATATGTTCATCACATTAATTTATGAAGAAACGTATAAATCATATTGCTTAGAAAAGAAATAATATATAAAAAAGAATCCTTTATTTGTAAAGAGGCAATAATTTACATACAGGATGAAGTATGTTAACTACAAATTATTTTGGTATAGACAAATGCTTATTAAGGCTCTATTAAAAGCTTATCAACATTTTTATGGGCCAAACATGAGGATGACTTATAGTTCACTGTGAGCAATTTCATCTATCACATTCCACCTGATGTCTTTAAACCATTTACTTAGGCTTGTTCCGTCAAAGCATTTTCTTTTCAAACAAAGTATCTCAAGTGGAGCATGACATTGCCTCATCATAACCAGACACTAGATAATACCTTTTTACTGAGTGATGTCATATTATAAATTAGTCTTAAGTGATTGGTCAAGTATAAAAGACACAATGTGATTATACTGATATAAGGAAAACATTCCTTCTCTGTACATATGTTTTTGTGACTTAATAATAATGTTCTCTTAGAAGTGAGGTCCAAATTGGGAATATTTGACAATAAATTAAGGACTTTTTAGAATGAGGTGAGGAATGCCTAATTAACTGAATTCTATGTAGAAGTAATTCACAACCTAAAGTTTTATCTTCAGGTCTGAAATCAAATATTAAACTCCTGCATTTCCTGCTTGGTACATATTGCAAAAGACAATTTAGCAGATGCTTCCTTATAAACATCCTTTCCAGTCCCCTGCCTCCAATTATCATAGTTGTACATTTAAAAGGGAGGTAAATCAAATATTCCCTGAAGGTAATTTCATTGCAAGAACCAATCAGTACAGTTTTGGTAAATTGATAAAGATGAACATTTTATATTTCAATAGCAGTGGTTTCTATGTGTTAATTCAGTTTTCACTTCTATGCTTTAAGCAGCTCTACATTATTATTAACGACCTTTGAGTGTTCCCTCATAGCTTGTGGATTGTACCATCGAGGTTTTATTGGTTAGTTTTTGAAAGCAGATCACCAGGCATTTCTTCCTTCTCCGTCGTGGTCTCATACAATCTGTTCAGTATCATTGAACACACAGCCTCCAGTGGCAGGTGTGCATGAAGTATACTGTCTAGGAGTGGATTCCACCTCTAGCCCACAGAAGGTGAAAATTCTGCTTCTGAGCCACTAGTACCTCATAATAATAATTTTTAAAAAAAGTCTCCATAAGATCAAGGAAACATGTAATGTTATCCTAGGTTTACAATTGCATCTCAGTAGGTTAGGTATTTTCCCCAAGATCAAAATCAAGAATACTTGAACAGCATGGAACAGAAATTTATACTTCATTTCTAAGTCCTGCTCTGCTATATAAATATACAATGATTCCTTTGGGAATTCTTTTTTTAATTACCTATGATAATAAATTTTGTTTCACATTCTTTCAAGGTAATTGACACCAAGGGTTTCTCATATTTAAGTACCTCACTTCTTGAAAGTGATTATGGCACTGAGTGAAATAAACTAATAGATGCCCTCCTTGGGTTTTCAAATTCATCAATCCTGTCAGCATAGTGAAATATGTGATTATTTTGGTTATTAAATTAAAATAATTAGCTAATGTTATTGTTATAGAAGACATAGTGGATGGAGGGACAAAATGTTTGCTGATCAAAAACCAGCTCAACTTTCTGGATACTTCTGGGAATTTATTCAAATTTAGACAATGTTACCACTTTCATACTTTCCTTAGTGGGACTATGTGGTGAAAGCATCAACATTAAACAAACTGATAATAATTACATTACTTGGGCAACATAATTTACTTTCCTAATTGAAAGTGACGAGTATTGGAACGTGGCCAATTCCTCAGATTCGAGCCTCAGAAGGATTTTCTCATTGTGAGCCCAGGCCTTGCAGCATCCCTTCTTAATCTCCCTCCACCCTGTTTCTTACCTCACTGACATAAATGCCCGTGTCTTCTTCATCATCTGTCCGGTAACAGACTGTCAGGCCCAGCTTCTCCTGACTGCTAACACGACACAGCTCAACCTCCTGAGAGAGCACACACAGAACAACATTTATCTCAGCTCAAAAATACCACCACTGGATGGAGAAATCCAGATATTTTCTGGTACATCTATGCAAAGTTTCAGTCATTACTGCCCAACATTTAAAAATCAACCTAGGTTACCAAAAGGCTGTTCCATTGAAATTACTGCAAAATGTATTTTTTTTTTAGTAGTCTGGTCAATGCTTTAAAGTTAGAGATATGCAAAATTCACATTATCATCAAATCATAACAGATAACATTTGAAAAAGTCATAGGAGAGTATATTAATAATGTATAAATAGGTAAGGATAA